GAAATCAAGTAATAACTTTCTTTTAAACATCCAAAATACAAAAGTGATATATGCTATTTGAATATGAATTTTTCAAATTTAAAGAAAAGTTCAGCTTGCAATTCAAGACGTCCCAAAAATATTATACTTAGTGAAATGTTTTCATAAAATCCATCATTATCATGAAGGGATGTTGTATTTTGTTGAAGACTTTTTCAGAATCTAATGAAATGATCATGTGGTTTTTATTTTTCAGTTTGTCTATATGGTGAATTACATTGAAAGATTTTTGCATGTTGAACCATCCCTGCATCTCTGGGGGTGGATGATGGTTCTGATGTGTTCTTGGATTCCATTTGCCATTATTTTATTGAGTACTTTTGCATCAATGTTCACGAGTGAGATTGGTCTGTAATTCTTTTACTTAGTAATGTCTTTGTGTAGTTTGGGTATCATGGTAATTGTACCTTCATAAAGAGTTTAGCAATGTTCCTTCTGTTTCTATTGTGTGGGAATATTTGAGGAGTACTGGTATTAGTTCTTCTTTGAAAATCTTGTAGAATTTTGTGCTGAAACAATCTGGACCTGAGCTTTTTTCGGTTAGGAGACTTTTGCTGACTGTTTCTATTTCTTTAACAGTTATAGATCTATTTAATTTGCTTATCTGGTCTTTATTTAATTGTGGTAAGTGATATTTATCCAGAAAGTTGTCCATTTCCTTTAAGTTTTCCAACTTTGTGGAGTACAGGTTTTCAAAATATGACCTGATGATTCTCTGTATTTCCTGCTTGTCTGCTGTTATGTTCCCCTTTTCATTTCTGATTTTGTTAATTTGGATATTCTGTCTCTGTCTTTTGGTTAGTTTGGATAAAGCTTTGTCTATTTTGTTGATTTTCTCGGAGAACCAACTCTTTGTCTCATTGATTCTTTGTATTGTTTTCTTTGTTTCTATTTTGCTGATTTCAACTCTCAATTTGATTATTTCCTGCCATCTAGTTCTCTTAGGTGAGTTTGCTTCTTTTTGTTCTAAAGTTTTCAAATATTCTGTTAATTCACTAGTGTGGGATTTTCCCAGCTTTTTTATGTAGGCATTTAGTGTTACGAACTTTCCTCTTAAAACTGCTTTCATTGTGTCCCATCAATTTGGGTATGTTGTGTGGTCATTTTCATTGAATTTTGGGAAGGCTTTAATTTCTCCCTTTATTTCTTCCTTGACCCATTGATGTTTCAGGTGAGCATTGTATAATTTCCATGTGTTTATGAGCTTTCTGAAATTAGTGTTGCTGTTGAATTCTAATTTTAAGCCATGTGATACAGTAAGAAACATGGGGTTATTCCAAATTTTTGTATCTGTGGAGGTTTGCTTTGTTACCTAATATGTGATCAATTTTTGAGAAGGTTCCATAAGGTGCTGAGAAGAAGATATATTCTTTTATGTTTGGATGGAATGTTCTATAGATGTCTGTTAAGTCCATTTGATTCATAACATTTTAGTTCCCTTATTTCTTTATTAATTTTCTGTCTGACAGACTTGTCCAGTGGTGAGAGAAGGGTGTTTAAATCTCCCACTATTAGAGTGTGGGGTTTAATGTATGATTTAAGCTTTAGTAATGTTTCTTTTACATATGAGGGTGTTCTTGTATTTGGGGCAAAGACATTCAGTATTGAGATTTCCTCTTGAAGGATTTTTCCTATGACTAATATGAAATGTCCTTTTTTGTCTCATTTGATTGATTTTATTTTGAAGTCTACTTTGATAGATATTAGGATAGCTACACCAGCTTGTTTTTTAGGTCCATTTGATTGGAAAAATTTTTTCCCAAGCCTTTACTCTAAGGCGATAACTCTCTTTGATGTTGAGGTGTTTCTTGCATGCAGCAGAAGGATAGAATCTGTTTTTGTATCCAATCTGTTAGCTTGTGCCTTTTTATAGGTGATTTAAGTCCATTTATAATATGGGATATTAATGCCCAGTGGTCTTGGAGAGAGCAGGGATCCAAGGAACATACCTAAACATAATAAAGACAATATACAGCAAGCCAACAGTCAACATCAAACTAAATGGAGAGAAACTCCCAGTGATCCCACTGAAATCAGGAACAAGACACTCTCTCCACATTTATTCAGTATAGTACTTGAGGATCTAGCTAGAGCAATAAGACAACAAAAGGAGATCAAGAGGATACAAATCCGAAAAGAAATCAAACTCACTATTTATTTGTTGATGATATGATAATTTACATAAATGACCCTAAAAATTCTACCAAGGAACTTCTACAACTCATAAACACCATCAGTAATGTAGGAGGATACAAGATTAACTCAAAAAAAAAAATCAGCAGCCCTCCTTTACATAGATGATAAAAGAACTGAGAAAGAAATCAGAGCAATATCACCCTTTACAATAGCCACAAATAGCATAAAATATCTTGGAGTAACTCTAGTCAAACAAGTGGAGGACCTGAATGACAAGAACTTTAAATTTTTTTTAAGAAAGAAATTGAAGAAGATACCAGAAAATGGAAAGATCTCCTATGTTCTTGGGTAGGTAGAATTAATACAGTAAAAACGGCAATCTTACCAAAAGCAATCTACAGATTCATTGCAATTCCCATCAAAATCCCAGAAAAATTCTTCACAGAACTTGAAAGAACAATACTCAACTTCATATGCAAAAGCAAAAAAAAACCCAGGATAGCCAAAGCAATCCTGTGCAATAATGGAACTTCTGGAGGCATCACAATCCCTGACTTCAAACTCTAGTACAGAGCTCCAGTACTGAAAACAGCCTGGTATTGGCATAAAAACAGATAGGAGGACCAACAGAATCAAATTGAAGACCTGGGTATTAATCCACACACCTACCAACACCTGATTTTTGACAAAAAAAGCAAAAAACTATAAAATGCAAAAAAAGAAAGCATATTCAACAAATGGTGCTGGCATAACTGGATAGCAACATGTAGAAGAATGAAAATAGATTCATATCTATTCACATGCACAAAACTTAAGTCCAAATGGATCAAAGACCTCAACATAAAACCAACCACACTGAACCTCATAGAAGAGAAAGTGGGAAGTACACTTGAGCACATTGGCACAGGAGACCACTTCCTAAATATAACCTCAGTAGCACAGACACTGAGAGTAACAATTAATAAATGGGAGCTCCCGAAACTAAGAAGCTTCTATAAAGCAAAGGACACAGTCAACAAGGCAAAACGACAGCCTACAGAATGGGAAAAGATCTTCACCAACCCCACATCAGACAGATCTGATCTCCAAAATATACAAAGAACTCAAGAAACTGGTCATCAGAACAAATAATCCAATTTAAAAAAATGGAATACAGACCTAAACAGAGAACTCTCAACAGAGGAATCTAAAATGGCTGAAAGACGCTTACGGAAATGTTCAACATCCTTAGCCATCAAAGAAATGCAAACTAAAACAACTTTGAGATTCCATCTTACACTTGTATGTCCAAGATCAAAAACACTGATGACAACTTATGCTGTAGAGGTTGTGGGGTAAAGGAAACACTCCTCCATTGCAGATGGGAGTGCAAACTGGTACAATCACTTTGGATAGCGGTATGGTAATTTCTCAGAAAATTAAGAAACAACCTACCACAAGACCCAGCAATACCACTTTTGGTTATATACCCAAAGGATGCTCAATTGTACCACAAGAACATGTGCTCAACTATGTTCATAGCAGCATTATTTGTCATAGCTAGAACCTGAAAACAACCCAATGCCCCTCGACCAAATAATGAAATGGATAAGGAAAATGTGGTATATTTACACAATGGAGTACTACACAGCAGAAAAAAATAATGACATCTTAAAAATTGCAGGCAAACGGATAGATCTAGTAAACATCATACTGAGTGAGATAACCCAGACCTAGAAAGATAAATATTATATATACTCACTCATAAGTGGCCTTTAGACATAAAGCAAACAAAAACCAGCCTACAATTCATGATCCCAGAGAACCTAGACAACAATGAGGACCCCAAGAGAGACATACATGGATCTAATCTACATGGGAAGTAGAGAAAGACAAGATTTCCTGAGTAAATTGGGAGCATTGGGATCATGGGAGAGGGTTGAAGGGAAGGGGAGAGGAAGTGGGAGCGGAGAAAAATATATAGCTCAATAAAAACAATTTCTAAAAAAGGAATAAAAAAGAGAAAATACCAAGACACAACACATGAAAAAATATAAATATGTAAGTATTAAATGCAGATAAATAAATGTAAATAAATGTAAATATACTGTATAAGTTCAAAAAATAAAATAAAACCCATCTTTGTGTGCAGTTTAAAATAAAAGTAATTTAAAAGTATAAACAAGAAAATCATATAATCGACATATAGAACAAAAAATGTATATAATAAAATTTAACAGAGAACTACTAATAAAAAATGGAAGAACCCTCAGCCAACAGGAAATGAGCTACTGTGAACATAAAAATGTTATTTATAATAGTCGTACAAGAAACATTATAAATGTTTCTTGTAATGTGTGTGTGTATATGTGTGTGTGTGTGTGTGTGTGTGAGTGACTGGTGCACCTTTTTTCCCTCCAAGAGTGAGAAAAAGAAGCAAAGGGTAATCTACAATTCCAAAGGTGTCCAAAGTTGTCTGCTCAGTGTGGGTAAACGTTTCTACCTACATCTGTGAGTTACCCACAGCTTGCTAACTGCCAAGCCCAGACAGGTCACAGAATATGCAGGCACAAGGGTCAGGAAATCTATTTGCATATGAAATGTAACTGCTCAAAAAGTTTTAAATTCTCTGTTTCTTAAGATTTTACTCCCACAGCCAGGGCATAACTAAAACAAATGTCCAGATCCGAAGTATCTATTGTTGCAGTATTTCCTGAAAGTAGTAAAAATCAGGCCCTATGAAAAGCTTAGGAAACCCAGGAGAAACATCACTATAAAAGACTTATATTTTGAATAGTAGTACCTTGAACAAGACAAATTTCTAGAAAAATAAATTCTCAGAGCAGTAAAGCTTGTTCCCATTTATTTTGTATGTGTAGTTCAGAAATACAAGGTATGAAAACTGTTACAGTAATGCCAGAAAAGCTCCTAACTACAGCCCTTTCCTAAATATCAAAACAGCCATGTGTTCTTTGTCAGTGTAAAAACGTCGATTCTCACCACAAACAAATATAAAATATAATGACCACGATCAGAGCAGCGAGGCCAAGTCCAACCTGAGGGTGGTGGTCAGCAGGGGCTTTGAAAGCTGGGGTCCTAAGGACTAAGGAAAATGAGAAAGACACAATGCATCCTCAAGCAAAAAGAGTGAATATTAACTCTGGCCTGCAGTAAGACATGTTTCAATCAGAACACAATATAATGAATTTAAATGTGGTGACCTAATTCACTGAAACAAGTGTGTATAGCTGTGTGCATTAAAGCAGCTGTGATAGAAATGTTCTCACCTTCTGTCAGAAAGTCAACTACAAATCCTGCTTTCAGGAATCAATATATGATTTAACAGGTTCAGATAGATATATATACCACTAAATTTATATATAAGTATTAATAAAAAGAGACCACAACCTTCTAAATAATCAACTGTGTAACTTGTTAAATTTTAAAACCATAGGAGAGAAAGTTGTTTTTGCAGTGGCCTGAGGAGGAAGTCGAGACCTTCACACGGGCCTGGCAAGGGTTCTCCCACTGAGTCACTTCCTAGTCTGGGACTCTTCTTTTTTAAAAACAAGTAAAAGAAGATTATTCCCTATTCATTCTCAATTACGAATGGTCCCTAAATTTATGTTAGAATTTACATAGCAGAGTGATGTTAATTTTCAAATAAAGATAGGATATATTCCAATAAAATAATACAATCCAAGCTAGCACAGCAGGCATTCAGAACTGAAAGCCCATAAGCTCCTGGTCACTCAGAGGAAACTCTACAGCAGAACTGTAAGCCTAGGGCTGGGTTTAGTAACTCAGTGGTGGGACTCGCCCTAACACATGGTAAAGAGTGCCCTGCAGTCAACTGTCAGGAAGAAAAGAAAGTTGATAATTTCCCTAACAACCGAGCTGTCCCCCACCAAGCCATTAGCGTTTCCACGCCTGGGATAAAATCACAGTCTTGTGGGACACCGCTTAAATGCTGCCTTCCACGCCTGTGTGTCAAAGTTCATGCTTGGTCGGACTTCTCAAAGGTAACATGGAACACATACTGATACAGAGGATATCTGCATGGAGTCTGGTAAAGTTAACAAACTACAACATTCTCAAAACAAGTTCAAGTCTTGATGACAAATGAATTACGGTATCAACTTTATAAGATTTTTCTGAGGCTTTCTGAGTGAGGGTGTTGGGGCCTCTAACAGTGGACAAAAAGGCTCATGCCATGGTGTCATGGGCTGCATCTCCTCCCATGAAACAAGGCTCTTCCCTGTATTTCAGCCTCTACCTGAAGACTGTCTGGAAATGGTATAATGAAAAAGTTAACTGTCCTTTGTCAGACTCCACCTTGGACTACATTTTAACAGATAATAGTAGGTAGTGCCAACCGTCTGGGAACATTTATAAGAAAATAAAGTTGGAAGCTATGCAGACAGGGATGCAATTCCTGTGAACGAGGAACCTGTAGCCACTGGTCCACTCCAGTAGCTGTCCAATGGGACATAGGTCGCAAACTTTGGCTAGATCAGACTGGAGGAGTCTTGGAACTATTCTAACAATGTCAACCTACTGCTACACATGGAACGAAGTCATAGCAAGCAATGCACCTAACAAAGCCATCTCTGTAATGACATTTAAAATGTATTCTTCTAGGTCTTGATGAAGATGAAGCCATTAGATATCTTATTAATTAAAAAATAAGCCACCATAAGAAAAGAGCTTGAAATATTCAAAGAGAAAATAAAATGTATGGATCATTGGCTATAGCGGTGAAGGGCTATACTGCCGGCACTCGGGTGGCTGAGACAGGATACCAGACTAAAAACAAAAGCCAGTTTAAAAAAGAGAGAGAGAGAAGGAAAAGAGAGAAAAGCAAAAACCAACTGTTTGCCATGACAATAATTTCTAGGTTTTCAATAGATTTTTGTTGTTGTTTTGTCTCTATTTTTTAACACTTAAAAAGCTTTTTTCTTTGAAAGTAGAGGTATTTTCCCAGTGGAATGAACTGGAACGCACTACTTCATATACAGGGAGAACAGGACAAAACATGAAGGCAAAGACAACAGTCCTTGAGCTGCACAGTGAACAGAGTGAGCGGGGACACAGGCTGGACTATCGGCGCGTGGCAGCTCTGCAGCCCACAGCACACGCGTGAGCACGGCCTGCACTTAGGGAGGCAAAGGTCTGCTTACATACTAGGGACACTGTTGAGGCAGCGCGAGACAGAGAGCTGCACATCTTACTTCTAAGAGGGTCTTCAAAATCAGTCAGCTTTTACCAGTAACTTGACTGAAAATGTGCAACCAGCTGCCTTCCCTAAGAGCTGCATGTATGCTGACAGGATAAGAGCGTCATGCTTTGACGCGATGGCTCAGCCGTTAAAGGTTAGGCTCACAACCAAAAATATAAGAATGTCATGCTTTTAATTTTTTAAGTGAATTCATAAATTCATTTAAAAAGTAAAAAATGTGCATTTTTTCCATCGTTCCCCTTCCCCTTTTTATAAAAATACTACAGAAGAATAAGCAAAATTAGCAAGAGAGATGGGAAGAACACAGAGACTAGCTGGAATAGAACTGTGAACTTCACGTCATCATGGCTAGTGAAGAAACTGTAAACTTTTAAGCGTCTATGAGATTTTTATTTCTATTCAGAAAACATGTAAGAAGGCTGCGTTTCTCCAGGAATAAAAATGAAAATGTTCTACATATTAGTCTTAAGAAGACAAGAAGGCCCCACCTGCCTGTGCGAAGGGCTCAGCCTCTTGCCTTCCTCTGCACCGCTCTCTCATCCCCCGTGTCTTAGGGATCAAAGAGAGAGAGAAGCCAGCCTCAGGAGCAGGAGTTCCCAAGCAGGCACAGAGGAGCTGACGGTCAGACTCACTGCTTTGAGGAAGACACACCTTGAATAACATACACTGAAAAAATTAAAAACCAAAAGCCAAACAACAAAAAAAACTAATAAAAACCCAGACACCATCTTTCATGAAAAATTAAAACCAAAAATCAAAAGAAACCCTCAAAAGTTCTTGTGTGCCACAAGTTACATGTCTTGATCTGCATAGGCAGGAGGGGAGGATAAATGAAAACCCAAATGTCCCGTTCTGGAGTTCTGTCCTTTACCCTGTTCTCCTGTCGCTTCTTCCCACGCGACCACCACTTCGCCTCAAAGCCTAGAAACCCAGTGGTGCCCTGGTCCATATTTGCATAGTGCTGACAGTAATATTGTAGAGACGACCTCTGTCCCTTCGCCTGCAGTCAGATGTCTGAAGAGCACTGGGTCTAGTCTCACACATTCAAAAACAAGACACAAGAGTCCGGAGGCCAAAGACGAGTTCCATTAGCAGCAAGCTGTCAAATCACTGGATACAGTCTCTTGTCCAAGGGGCAAGAATTAGGCAGTTTTGTCTACAGTTTCGGATTCTGCCTTCTGCACCATGCAGCGGCGAATTATATTATCAAAACTTCCAAGGTAAAATAAAGCAATGATTCGGAAAAGGCCCATGGTGACCACCTGCAAGATAAAGGAGACCTTTCAGATCACCCAACAGGACAGCACAATAGCCCATCTTAAAGTAGTCAATGTCTCTACCAAACAGTTTCTAGGACACATCCAATCTGCTCCAAGAACAAGTATAATGAAAACTTTGTAAATGCCAGTGATTTAAGAACAGAATACTTTGTGTACAGGATGGCACTGAACTTGCTAGATAAACAGCAATATTTGTCTGAATTAACAAACTGAAACCATGAAAAGAACAAAACACGTACTCTTAAAAGACAGGGTTCTAAGTCCTAGGCATGGTGCTCTCCAGCACTTCAGATAGACACCCTACATCAAACTGCTTTGACTAGGACTTAGGTTGTAAGTACTAAGCCCTTTGGCTGGGTGCTGAGGACGCTAGTGGAAGAAATACTGAGTCCTCTACTCTGTGAACTGGTAGTGCGTGGAGACAAAGGCCCGCCATGCTGGGTAGACTGGTCCCAGCTCCTGGTCTCCAGTGATCCTCTGGCTTCAGCCTTCTAAGTAGCTGTGACTACAGGTGGGCACACACGCGGCTTGTGAGGGAAACACAATCAAGTAAGAGCAATCACTGTCTCGGGGGCAAGACTGCAATTATCCATGACCTCTCGCTACCACAACTCCAGTGGCATTGCAGAAAGACCCACATTTTCAGATACACAAGGACTATAACCATTGTTTCCCAGGTATCCTTTTCTGAGAAGAATGAGATACAGAAAGTGAGGATCATCACAGTAAGGAGTGTCATGTGACCTGGTGAATTTGTAAATATCTCAAGACTGGCAAGGCCAGTAATGAATTTACAATGAAATCTGCAGACTGGGGATGTGGTCCAGCCAGTGCAGTATGTTCCTAGCATGTATGAAGTTCTGGCTCCCATCCCCCACTCCACATAAAATGGGCCTGGTGGTATCCACCTGCAATTGCAATCACAGCACTTGCAGAAGAGGCAAGAAGACTCAAGGTCATCATTTCAAGAATCCTCGTGTACAGGAGGGAATAACAGAAAAGGACAAAAAATAGCAAGACAAAAAAAAAATTTTCTCAGATACAAACCTAACCATAATGAGCACAGCTAACCTAACGGAATGAGCGTGTGTGTGTGTGGGGGGGGGTGCACGCGGGAGAACTAGCACCCTCCTCCATGCTAATCCCAACAACAGGATGCACCAAGTAAGAAAAGCAGCAGCAGCAAGCAGCCGAACCAGACAGCCAGACAGCGGGACACACAGCGCAGGCTTTGCAGAGAGGAGTGACTGCCTCAGAGACAGGCGCAAAGAGAAGCTGCGAAGCTGAAGCTGCAAGGAGCTATTGTCTCCCAAAGCCTTGGTATTTGAGTCTCTGAGTGAATGCAGGCAAGGCCGACTGTTGAAAAACCCAAGGAAGCTGGTAAAGGGAAACCCAAGTAAAATGATGACCAGTAGCTCAGGAGGGACAAAATAGGTTATCTCTCGGGAGAAGTTCAGGACAGTGAAACGATCCCATGTGGCCCTGAGTGGTGGGCACATGCCCCATAGAAGCAGAGTGTGATCTGTGAGCCAGAAACAAGGGCGCCACACCAACGTGAGGACCTGGTGGCCGGGAACAAAGGTCCGTTATTTAAAACAAGACACCAAACTAAAGGCCAGGGAGGAGGAGACCTCAAGAAAAACATTTACAACACAACACATAAGACTGAAACAAGAGTAGGTCCAGGCTCTGAACACAGGTCTGCAGTTAGTTCTCTGTCAAAGGGAACCTCACGATCCGAGCCAAAGGAAACCTGTGGATGAGGACAGGGAGAAGAGACTCAGGGAAGGGGACACACGGTCAGCTCGCTGGCAGGCTTCACCCGGGAACGCAGGTGGGCAGCCCAACAGCAGAGCCGCATTGAACAAGCACAGCATAGAAACTGTGACATCACTGGTATGCATTCCAGTGGCCAGGGCAAGGTGCTGAGGTGGCAGGGATTGGGACAGGGCTGTGCTCTGTGCTCTGGGCGTGACTGCCGTGTTTTCCCGCAGGGAAAGTAGTCTGCTGCTGTAGACCTCTTAATGTCCCAAGAAACGTCTCAAATCTGGAATTTCTGTTTTCCAATATCTGATTTTGAAATAACTTTATTTAATTTTATTATAGTACACCTATAATCCTAGTACTAGGGAGAGTAGACGGATAGGTTTGGGGGGGTCAGTGTGAGCCTAATGCTTTAGACCACATAGCATGTGCCAGGCTAGCCAGGACTACAGAGAGTCCACACACTTCATCACAGTATCACTTTTCATGCCCGTGTACACATTCCAGCTCACAACAAACCTGACTCAGGACAGAGGCAGTGATCTTGGTCTCAGCTCTGGGACCATCAGCTGAGAATGTGGGACAGGGACCCTGACGGGAGAGGCAGGAGTCATGGGTCACAGCCCAGTCCCTGGCTGGGCACGTGGGCATGGGCAGCCATCACAGAGTGAGCACACTGCAGAGAGCTGTGGCCGGAGATGGGGTGCAGGAATCCGAAGGGCTTGCCAAACTGGAAATGTCTAGTTACTTGACAGGAAAAATTTGTAAAAGAAATTGATTTTTAAAAAAGTTGGGCTGGTGGTGGTAGCGCACGCCTTTAATCCCAGCACTCAGGATCTCTGTGAGTTCGAGGCCAGCCTGGTCTACAGAGCCAGTGCCAGGACAGCTAGTCTCGAAAAACAAAAACAAACAAACAAAAGGCTGGAATGTGAACGCAGCTATGGAGCTGACCTTGAGACTTGGCACCCTATGTATGAAGTGGCAGTCGTGAGACTAGACTACCCGCAGATAGGTGCAGTCATGCAGCGTGAGACTAGACTACCAGCAGACAGATGCAGTCGTGCAGCGTGAGACTAGACTACCAGCAGACAGATGCAGTCGTGCAGCGTGAGACTAGACTACCTGCAGACA